GTCACTGGCCCTCATATGTGGGATCCGAACTGGGGCCCTCTGGCATCCCAAGCGAGTTCTTAACCATCGCGCCACTGGGCCGGCCCACCTCTGTGACTCTTACTTGCACTTTTATAGTTTCTGTTTGTCTTAATTATAGATTCACTCTCTTCAGCTTTGTCACTGGCTGTTTAACCTCTTACGTTGAAGGTTTTATTTTTAAACTCTGTATTATAAAAAGTCTCAAATGTATAAAAGTAAACATAATAGTGTATTTCCCTCCCTCCCTGAGTATTTGGCATCCAGGTTCAACAGTTATCACCCTTCTAATAGGAGCCAGTTGGATTCTGCTGACTGTTTCTACATTTAGTCGTTGCGATGTCATATTATCACATATCCTCTGGAAAACTCAAACTACATTCCTGCAAGAATGGTAGTGAAAAAGGCAAATAACATCTCAGAATTATTATGAAAATAGTTAGACTTTGCATATCCTCTGAAATAGCCTTGGGCTCCCTAGACCCTGCTTTGAGAACTGTTCTCCACAAGGATGATAAGAACTTTTGAGTCTCTACCTCATATGGCTTTAGGCGTGGGTGTTTGAAACTCAGCGTCCAGTGCTTATACTCAGTTAGAAATCTCTGAAAACTCAGCTGCTTTCCTTTTTCATTCTGGTTTTGCTCCCTTTTTTTTGTTTCTGGAAACGGAATTCTTTTTTCTCTTGAATTCATCCATGAAACAAATGTTTTCATTATTGTTACAATTGAGTATTTCTAGATGAGCTTGGGGGACGGTGATGGTGACCTTCTGTATTATCTGTCTTCAGTGTTGCCACAAATTCAGGATTATGTATCTCATTATGTCCTCAGTATCTGGCACCATTCTAAAAATACAGTGATAGACATTTTAGGAAGTTATGCTACTGGAGATAAAGTAGAACTATAATAGTGATCTATTAAAATGAATCACTATTGGTAAGCTGTGGGGAGTAATGAAAAGCCTTGTTTTTATGCTTCAGCATAAACTAGAGGTATCTGAAGTAAAGGGAAATCTAAATGCCACTCAGGAGATAGGATAAATATGTAGGTATATGTTACATGTATTTGAGAGCAAGGAGCACAAATTCTCTAGACTAGATTATTATAAAATTTTTACTTTTTTTTGAAGACCCCCTTGAGATTTCTGTTAAGCACTTGTCTTTTCTGGTACCTCATTTACGTTTTTTTCCTTTGCAGGAATATGCGCTTTCTGGTTGGAACTTGAATAACATGCCTGTCCTAGAGCAGTCTGTTCTTGCACATATCAATGTAGACATCTCTGGTATGAAAGTGCCATGGCTCTATGTGGGAATGTGTTTCTCTTCATTTTGCTGGCACATTGAAGATCATTGGAGTTATTCCATCAATTACTTGCACTGGTATGTACAATCTTTGTTCACAGCATACATACTTAGTAACCTTTTTAAAGATGTAATAATAATTAGGTGATATATTATTATGGAGAGCTGAATTTCAAAGTATTTCCTATCCAAAAGGACAATGTATTGATGAAAGAAGTCTAAGTGGTCTAAGGATACATCTCACACACCTTCCCTTTTAAAGTATGTGCGTGTCCTGAGCCTAGAAGTTTAGATCAAATGATACCGTTTGGTATACATGAAAATTACTTTGGTATATCTTTTGAGACGCAAAGTAGGATGTTCAAAGTATATACTTAAGATCCAACTAAACCTTTAGTATTTGAAATGTTCAAATGATTTTTTTCCTTTTCATAACATTTTCTCTAAAAATGCCTTAAGTTACATGCGTATTCATTAAATTCTTTTGCTGACTTCTTTGTATCTCACCTACAGTTTTTATTTACTTACCCAGATTATGATCTTACTATGCAGTGGAAAACGCTAGTGATTTTCTTTCTCTGCTTTGTTGCTATGCTGTGTAATATGATAACTGCTAACCATATGTGGCTATTTAAATTAGTTAAGATTAAGTAAAATTAAAAATTTTACTAGCTCATTTGGGTTTCAACAATTTCTAGCCTATGCTTATTTCCTTGCATAGTAAAATTGAACTCAGTGAAGAATGTAAAGGCATTCTAGAGAGCATTGACTTTCACTTTGATCATTGTGGAGATAATTAGAATGTAGAGTGGACCTATGAATCAAGGCAGTATGTCAGTATCCTTTGGAACAGTGCGTAGTTTTCATATAGCTTCTTTCCTGTGTGAAGATAGTATTTACTGACCCACCTTAAAAGAGTTCATGTGTTTTGGATTACTTTTCTAATAGCAGTGATAAGTATGTATCTGTCCATATACTCTTACCTCCTGTTATGAACAATAACACATTTTTATGAGATGGTTGCCAGTATTCAGGGCATATAATCTGTGTCCATGGAACAAGACAAAGTTAATTATAATCTAGTGGATTTGAATCAAGAGATCCTGGCCTCATTGGCACCATGCTTGATCTAGCTAAACAGTGATTTCTTTTGCTAGGGGAGAGCCAAAGACATGGTATGGTGTGCCATCTCATGCTGCAGAGCAACTGGAGGAGGTGATGAGGGAGCTGGCCCCTGAGTTATTTGAATCCCAGCCGGATCTTCTACACCAATTAGTTACCATCATGAACCCCAACGTGCTAATGGACCATGGTGTGCCTGTGAGTCTTTGTGTCTCCCTTCAGTATTTTCAATTTAAAGTTATTTTGCTTTTGATTAGATAGACTCACAACATATGCTTTGTTTTGTAACTGGACATAAAAGGTCATATCATCTAGCTAAATTATAATTTATATTCTGGAGGGAACAACATTTATTTGATTAAGAAAGGGGTGCTTTAAAGTATGAATCATACTTTATATATAACTATCTATTAAAATAGCCTTTTGTTGTCAGTAAACAGTCATATCCAGGTTTTTACAAAAACCTTATATTCTTTATTATCCCTATTTAATCAAAGTTTAAGCATTTTAAGTGGTAGTTTTAATAACATACTTTATCCTTTTGGATATCATGTAAAGATATCAGCTTTTTTTCATATGAGATGAAGTAAACATACACGAATACCTTTTCTACTTTTCCACTTAGTTTTGGAAATGATCAAATTTAAGCTACTAACACCTGATAAAGTATAAATTTAATAAGTTTGTTACATATAGTCAGATATTCATCATAACCTTAATGAGATAGTACATTAGTAGTAGTGTTACTTTGTCTTTAAACTGAATTTATTCTAGAATCTAGGACTTTCAAAATACGCTTCATATTATCATAAAACAAAGTGAGATTCAGGAAAAACTGATATTTGGGATATCTCCATATTACATATGAACTAATCAATAACTTAGTTTCCAAAAAGTTATCTGAGAGTGGGAAGTTCCATCCTTTACCTCTATTTATAACACAATAATAAAAGGAATAAAAATTCTCCTAATTGTAAAAATTTTATCAGGTTAGGAAACTAGTAGCTCAGTGAGAGTAATGTTTTCTCTTTGAGAATTTCTTTCGGCAGCTAATTCTTGTCATGAATTATTATACCTTGTTATCAGTGACTATTTTAAGATGGTGGAATTCTGGCTGCCTTTTTTTTTAAAGATTTTATTGGGGAATTGGGGGAGGGGAACAGTTGGGGAGTCAGGGAAGGGGAACAGACAAATTGCTGTCCTTTTGTTCTTCAGTCTAGTTGTGGAGGACGTTGCTTCACTGGCCCATGTTGGTATTAACATTGCACTCTTACCGGGTGAGGCAGTTGCTCACCAGCCATTGGACAGCGGCTCATGGCAGCTCACGGCAGCTCATGAAAGCTCACGCCCGCTGCCGGCCAGCCCCACTGCAGCCTACGCCATTGCTGGCGACTCAAGGCAGTCCAGCTCTAGGTCGAGCTGTTGTTCACCATCTTAGCTGTAGAGGGCGCAGCATCACTGGCCCTCAATGTGGGATCCAAACCGGGGCGCCTGCTGCTCAGAGCTGGCATCCCAAGCCAACTCCTAACCAATGTACCACTCGGCTGGCCCTCTGGCTGCTGCTTAAACCTGATTATCTTCTGGTGTGTGTAGTTTAATGCTGTATTGTTTTCAAGTTTAGAAAATACTTCTGAAACTGACTGATAAACCTGTCTCCCTTTTTTTGTTGTTTTTATTTTGTTTGTTTTTTTTGTATCACTGTTCTCAATTTGCATTTAGGTGTACAGGACCAATCAGTGTGCTGGCGAGTTTGTTGTGACGTTTCCTCGTGCCTATCATTCTGGATTTAATCAGGGCTACAATTTCGCTGAAGCTGTGAACTTCTGTACTGCTGACTGGGTCTGTTCTATAGCAAGTAGCTGTTGTACGTCTACTAACATCCCTGGAAAATGCATCTCAGTTGCTATGTTTCCTTAGTTGGGGAGGGGAGAATTCATGAATATTTCAGTAAGAGACTGGAGTGGCTGTGGTAAATTAGAAAGTTCAGTTAGAGTTCCCATTACAGTTTTTATTTGGAAGATGGTATAGTTCTTCTTATTCATTCATTATTTCCCCATTCTGTTTGAATTTTAAATGGTTAGTTGATATTTTCTGAATCTTTCTTTTCTCAGAGAATATGGTTCCTCTAAGGTCCTTGCTTTCTCTGAGCACTTTTGGATTTTATAAAGATATCCAGATGTTTTCAAGAATTCTACCGTATTTTCAAATATCTAGGTCTGTGATTTTTATTTTAAAATAATGCCTTTATTATTTCCTTCTGATGGACAATTAGGTGATTTTATTCTTCCTGCCATTTTATGTTTTCAATATTCCCTTTTTAAAAATCTTTTTTTTTAAGGAGGGCACAGCTCACAGTGGCCCATGCGGGGATTGAACCAGCAACCTTGGTATTATTAGCATCATGCTTTAATTAACTGAGCTAACCGGACACCCCTGAAAATCTATTTTAAAGAGTAACTGTAGTATTGAGATCTCCATGGGCTCTACTTCTATGTGTATGATGTCAGTGATTACTATTTTGCTTTTGTATGAGGTAGTTATCAAAAAAAATAGTTATAATTATGTCATATTGTTTGGGAAAAGACTGCAAATTTATAATACACTCTTTGCCTTTAATTTGCTTTTAGTGATATGTTTTGCCACCTCTCAACATTTGGGGAGATTTTCTTTAGTAATACTGGATCTTATGTCTTCTGTGGGTACCTCAATTAAATTTCATGATTAACCATTTTTGTTTCTTTGGATAATGAAAAATGATATAAATAACAATTTTATTTGATATAGTAATTTTAAACTTCTTTCACTAGGCTTAAGAAGCTGCAAGACCAAACTTAGGATTTTGCTTTGGGTTTGAGCTCTATTGTTAAAAATTCAGCTAACATTTATTAAGTGTTTATGATTTACTTGCTTCTTGGCTAGATGTCGGGTGGGAAATAGAGATTCAGAAATGAGTTAGAGATGGTTTCTCCCTTTAATGTGTTCACTATTGTTGATATTTGATCTTGGAAAGCTTTTTTTTTTTTACTTTTCTTTTTCAATTATAGTTGACATTCAGTATTATTTTATATTAGTTTCAGGTGTACAGCATAGTGGTTAGACCAGCGGTTCTCAACCTGTGGGTTGCGACCCCTTTGGGGGTCGAACGACCCTTTCACAGGGGTTGCCTAAGACCATCGGAAAACACATATTTTCGATGGTCTTAGGAACCGAGACACCGCTCCTCTATCCGTCTCCATGCTTCAAGACAAAATTTCATTTAT